AAGAACACAGCAGCACTGACACCATCTACCAGGGGAGTGTTTTGTGACTTAGACCAGGGTCCGCCTGCACTCATAGCACACTGACCCCAAACTAACCTAACCGTGAAGGTCACAGTCCCAGATAAAGCCACCCCCTTGTCCTCCAGGATGCCTCCCTCCGCTCACCTCTCCTCAGGAGTCTTGCTCTGCTCTTCCTGGCACTCGCTGGGAGACTTTGCTGGCACCTCCTGGGAGCATCCCCTGGAGAGGGTCCCGCTGTCCTCATCCCTGGGACCGGTGGCCACACCATACGTCCGGGGGCCATATCTTGAGCTGCCATCATGGTTAAAGGTGAGGCGGGAGCCCCAGAGGCGATCAGGGCTGGCAGGGACCTCCTTCCGAGGCTGCTCCATCTTGGCCAGGATCTCTTCCACTGTGGTGGCTGCAAAGCGCTCTGAGGCCGGACGGAAGGGGGCAGGGGCCTTCCGCACGCCTCCTGGGGCAGCACATCGAGCTGGGGGTGTCAAAGGTGGCATCTCTTCTTTCCCGGCCTCCTCTTTCCCAGTCTCTCGAGTGGCTTCTCCTCCAGTAGAGGTCTCAGGCGTAGGCCTTGGTGCAAAGGGAAGGGGACGCTTGCTGCCACCATAGGGCTGGGGTCCTGCGAGCATGTTCATCTTCCGGGCAGAAGGCAGCTCAGCCAGGGGGCCCCGGGGGGGCCGAGGCCCAACAGGCACCAGCAGGCTGGGCTTGGCAGGCAGGGCTGGCTTGGCAGGCAGGGCCCGAGGTTTGGGCTTGACGGGGGGTTTGGCCCGAGGGTCACCTACCGAAAGGAAAGGATTGGTTGGGGGTCTGTCAGAAGATCCAGGAAGCAGAACTTCATCTCCCACCCTGTACAAACTCCGAAAGTTCACATCCTTCTAGGTACAGGGCAAATGTCACCTCTTCCATGAAGCCTTCCTTGATCATCCATACACATCTCAGAAGCACCTTCTCCCATCTCCAAATTTCAAAAACATTACTCAATCTCCTTTACAAGCTAAAGCTACTTAAGGGCCCAGCTGGCATGTAATTTCTCCTTATAGCCCCCTTTGCACCCTAGCAAATGTTCTTATCAAACGAACACACTAATGAATGAACAAAAGAGCCAATAAATGGATGCCTGCCTGCCCACATCAAGCAGTCAGGCCACCATGTCCCCAGTCCTGTCCCTTCCTCTTACGTGACACTGTACTGCTCCACCACCCATAGTAAACCTAGCTCAGCTTCTCCACTCTGGCTCCCTACTCCACCCCCCTCCCAGAATACACGCCCAGGCCACCTTCCCACTGTCATCCGGTGTGTGATCAGGAATGAAACTTACTATTGACCTAAGCCAAACAGAAGTAAACCTGCTACAGGAAAAAAACAAGACCAGAAACCTACCTTCTACATAAGGCATTCCACTGCCAAATAAAAGACTTGGAATTACTCATGGCCATGGCCCTGCTAATAGAATCCTGTATCACCCACTCATTGGACCCAGCCCAAGAAAGGAGTCTAGACACAGAGCCAGGAGGTCTGGGTTCAAACCCCCCTAGGTGCACACCATTTCTCCTCTAGGCCTCAGTTTCCTCCTCTGCAGAACACATGGTTTAATCCGCACCACACCTCGAAGGGCAGTCTGCTCTCATCTGCTGGGGACCTAGGTTCTCAAACCTGGTCTGAAAGGGCTCGACGGGAGCGAACGACCTCGCAAACTCATCCTGCGTAGCCTCAGTGTGCCTCCCACTCTCGCTCCCCCGCCCCCTCCAAGACAGAGCAGGGGTTCCGCTGCTGCGCCCCCACCCTCCTCCGGGCCACCCTGCTCCGCCCAGCACCCATGGGTACCTGGCTCCGAGCCAGCAGACACCGGCTCCTCCTGCATTTCCCGGGGCGGTGGGGAAGCCATGGCTGCGCCTTCCCGGAGAGCCGACACTTTCATCACATGCGGCAGAACCTGCGTGAGAATTGGGGAGCCGAGGGGTGTGAGCGGGGTGGCTGGAGACCCAGGAAATGAGAGCAAGAGACTGAGAAGGCACAGGGGCTGCGAGCTTGGCAGCAGGCTTGGCTGAGGGAAGCGTCCTTCCAGCAGGGGCAGAGTGTGGGACCGGAAGCGGGAACTTCAGAGGGGGCTGGGGGAGGTCAAGGGAGGTCCCCGGCAGCCGGCAGCCGTATCCTCCACTCGTCCCAGACGGCTCTCTCAACTCCGGTCTCCTAACCCCGGAGTCCTGGAGCTTCAGGAACCCGCCCACTGCTCCCTCTGGCAAGCTCTCCAAGACACCCCACTTACCGTTGCCAAGGCACCCCTTGGGTCCGGCAGCCCTGCCTGAGGTATCCACTCAGGGCCGGAGCAAGAGGGCCGCGAAGTCTGAGGTCTCTCCGTGAATCACCTCATGGGAGACGGGAAAAACCCGCTCCTCCCCAACCTGGGGCTCCGCCCCACCGCCTGCCTTCCCCCCTTCCCGCTCACC